GGTTTTATGCTGATCTTGGTTTTGTTTCAAGATGCTCTGTTCCCTTGAGTTTTCCAGTCACAATTCAATAAAGACTTTGGACGAAGCGTTAGGTTGGATTTGTGTACATCTTTTCCATTCCATCGGTCAAGCTTTCTGGTGTCAAATGTTTTTTTTTTTTTTTTGTATTTGGCACTGGTGTCAACAGTTATAAGAGAAAGAAGAACATGATCTAGTGAGCACATTGTGGGATGATGCCAAGAATCGCAAAACAAGAAACTGAAACAGGAAACAAATAAGTTAAGGAAAAAAGGACACCACAAAGCAATTATTTAACAAATGATGATGAAAGAGAGCAGAGGTGTTGGATTAGATTCCATACATGATACTGAAAAATGTCTACAGGAATTGAAGAATAAACTGTGAGCGCTATGTAATAAATAACTAGTACACAAAAATGATGATGACTGGCCAGTACTGCATTTAGTAAAGTCAATTACTTTTTATGAAATATCTGTGATGGTTCCGTTAAATGTGTAAATTAAAAAAAGTAAATGTAAACAATAAAAACAGAATTGTTAAATGTTCACTTTTTTCATTACTTTCCCAAGTAACGAGCCACATATGCTCAGCTTAAATCTACGTGTATCCATGTAACACATTCATTCATTCATTAACCTGTTATGCCATTATATGTCACTTGGGGCATGCAGACTATACCTCCATTCCATTCTATCCTGTGTAATCAGTTCAACACTGTTGATGGAATCTGGCCCAGCAGCTTTGGCCTCTCTCATCAATGTCCATCTTAGGGTTTCTTTTGGGGGTCCTCGCCTCCTTTAATCCTTTTATTTCCCATTGTAATGCCTGTTTGGTGATTCTCTGCTGGTTTTTTCTCAGGATGTGTCCAACACTTTTCTGAATTATAACTGTTGATACTAGTAGCTGCCCAGACATATCTCCATGCAACACATGCTGTGTTATTATTTATTTTATGTTTGGTCTTGGTATGTAAAAGAAATCTGGCCAAATATTTTTTAATGCAGCACAATATATGCTGTATCTTTGAAAGTCATGAACTGATGTCTTTTTCACAGTTATTCTTGTGCCAAAGTGAGTCTCTACTTCGAAACCAGCTGAGACTAAAAGATTGAACACATAGATTCACAGATAAGTGTAAAAAAATATGGTAAGCAAACCATACCATAAGCACCAAAGTCCTCAGACAGTTCGCAATTTTTTATTCTTGCTGCACAACAGAAATGAAAATCCATCATGAATAATACAATTGTGATATGTTATTGTCAACACAACAGGAAGGGGTTAGCAATGGAACAAAGAATGGGAACATGTATGTATGTAAGTTTTACCCCACCAGGACATCACACAAGCGATAAACACCCGGTGACACAAAGTACAACAATGCGGATAAGGATCACCTGTGGAGAGGTCCCGGAAACCCCGTTCAACCGTCAGGCCAAATTTCAGGCCCGGCTATATATATGGCCCCCGGCAAAAGCCAGAATGGAACTTCAAAATAACTAAAAATTGCATCCCACAAGGGGATGATGAGTTATTAATGTGAAACATTAGAAATGAGATATGGTGTTCAACAATTCCTTGAAACAGGTGTTGGGAAAACAAATTAGACACAGTATTTCAACAAATCCCTATACTAAAATATAAGCTGGAAACAAGCAAAAAGATATGGTATTTCAACAGATCCTTAAAACTGAAATACAAGTTGGAAATAGAATAAAAACAGATCCTGTTTTTCAATAAATCCATAATACTGAAATACAAGTTGGGAATGGAAAAAAATAGATACAGTACTTAAACAAATCACTGGTACCCTAATAGAGGTTTGTAAAACAGAAATTCAAAAATGAAAAAAAAAAAATGAATCTATACTGTAAAGTCCATTAACTAACATCCACACCAAATGGAATGTGTGCAACCAAATACATAGAAAACTGGATATTTTGTTCTTCTTAGTACTGCTCTCTCTCTCTCTCTCTCTCTCTCTCTCTCTCTCTCTCTCTCTCTCTTCTCTCTCTCTCTCTCTCTCTCTCTCTCTCTCTCTCTCTCTATATATATATATATATATATATATATATATATATATATATATATATATATATATATATATATATATATATAGATAGATAGATAGATATATGTATATACATACACATTTATATATATATATATATATATATATATATATATATATATATATATATATATATATAATATATATATATATATATACTCTTTTGATAAACAATAGTTTACCTACAAGGGTGGAGACACATGCCAGGGACACGTATTTTAATCACTTACAATCTTGCACCTTCTCCCCACAGATCAGAGGCTAATACTTAAACTACACAATTCTGCATAGCCCACACAAATCGGAAACTACTAACTTAACGGCCCACACCCCAGCATTGTCCTCACCCACGTATCAGCTACTAGTAACTTAACTCCAAACACCTACACTGTCCCCACATATCAGAGACCAGTAACAAACACAGTCATGTACACTGTCCCCACATATTAGAGACCATTAACAAACACATTCACGTACATTGTCCTGAAATATCAGAGACCATTAACAAACACAAACACGTACATTGTCCTGAAAAATCAGAGACCATTAACAACCACAAACATGTACATTGTCCTGAAATATCAGAGACCAGTAACAAACACAAACACGTACACTGTCCTGAAATATCAGAGACTAGTAACAACTCCAATTACCCCCCACACATTCCACCCCCCCCCCCCCCCCCCTTTTTCCCAAACTTACCACACACATAAACCCACAACTAGACTATCCCCACATATCAGAGATTAATAATTTAACCATAAACATGCACACCTATATTGTCCCCACATACTAGAGACTAGTAATTTCACCACATAAACACACCTACACAGCCCCCACATGTCAGTGACTAGTACCTTCACCATGGAGACAAGCTGTAATTTTATCACACACACCTATATTTAGAGACTAGTTATTTCCCCACACACCAACACTGTTCCCACTTATCACAGACTAGTAGTTTCACCACACAGACAGACATTTATGTAAACTTGTTAACACAGTAATAATAAATAGGCTTCCTCTGCTTCTTCTTCTTCTTTTTATTTCTCCCTGAGTTACACTGATAGGCATGTTCTTGTGATGAAATTGACTGGTTTTAAGAGTTCCTTTTGGGTTCCACAGAATTGTGAGTATGGTGCTGACTCATTAGGCCAGTACTCCTTTCTTAATAGGTTGTTCAAGGGCCATTCTTGCAAGACATGTATTGCAATCTGCACACACAGCCAACACAATGATGAACTACTCAGATGATGCCTGTGCATAAAGAAATGAAAAGCCAAGCCACAAAACTATAAACTATCGTTGATTAACAAAACAATATATCCCCGTTGTAAATTTGAACAAAGAGGTCACAATTAATAGATTGCACCTGATGAGATACAACAAAATCCCGATCAATCAGGTGCTGTCTACACAATGAAGGCTGGCTTCAACAAGCTCTATCTTTTGTGTTAGTAGTACTCTTTCTCAGAGTGTTGTTCATCCATCTCTTGATGTTTTCCTCCCCCTTGGATCACTTCTTGCTCCTTGCTATTTAAGCCTTTGACATTTCCCTCCAGTATAGTTTTTGGGAGAGTGTTTTGTGAAAATGTGGCTACAAATATTTCAATTTGTATTTCTTCCAGCAAACAGCATTAAAAGTCTATGGTTAAGTACCAGCAAGGAGCACAAAATTAGAATTTTGAGAGCATGTATCTTTCCTGTAGCAACATACGGATGTGAGTCATGGACTATCTGCCAGTCCTTAAGAAAGAGAATATGGGCTTTTGAGCTGAAATGCTATACATATATTCTCAGAATATCTTGGACGAAAAAGAGGAGAAATACTGATACCTTGAAAGATCTAAACATCAAGGAAGATTGGCTAATAAACAGCATCCTGTCTCGGAAGCTGTCATATCAAGCACCACGACGGATTGAAAAAAATAACAGCAGAATGCATGGTACCAGGAAGGAGGAGCAGGGGCCTACCAACACAAAAATGGGCACAGGATATAAATGACTCCTTGAGTATGAAAGTACATGAGGCATCTTTTTTTTTGTTTATTTATTTCACTGATGAACTATTATTTTCTTCTGGTCTTTATGGAGAAGTCCTTCTCTATCTGATCTTTCACTGTTCGTTTTTCTGTGTGGGTTCTGGGGCTCCATTTGGGGGAGAAATGACTGACCAACGGCTCGCTAACACGCAGGTCATTAAAAAAACATCACTAATTAGGAGTCTGTTGAGATTGGATTACTGGGCAGAAACTGCAGCCTAGAAGTAACCCACAACATAGCCAGCAGTCCTTTTAATGGTGAATGCAGAAGAACTTGAAAAAAAACAAGAAGAACAAGAAGGAGATCTTCTATCTGTTCATGTGAAAGGCTGGTATCTTAATTAACTACACACATTTGCATCTTGACTAAATAGCAAACATTGGTTCTGTTCACGTTTCCTGGTCCATTTACACACTACCTGACCTTTCATTCATACTTTCTTAGGCGCTTCTACATCTGAGGGGTGTCACGTTGTCTTCCCTCCAATTACATCAGCGTCAATGTCTTATATTCAATACTACATGACGACACAGCTTTCAATGACCCCAGAACATCAAGAACTGGCCCTAACCCAAACCCCACTACCCATAGCCTCAATCTAGGTCACATGAAACTCTTTTAGAAGAAAATAGAACAACGTGACACCGCTCTGACCTAGATCAGACTCAGAAAGTGTGTAGATGGGCCAGAAAACGTGAACAGGTCCCAAAAATATATTTTCAAAACACTGTAGATAAGAATAATGTCATTTTAAAAAAATTGTAAAATTATTATTTTGTATCGTTGTTTAAATCAACATGTCATCCCTGTAATACTGAACAATGGTCAAGAAAAAAAAATCCATGAAACTACAAACTGTTTGTCATTAACTATTATTTCTGGAATGAGGATGCACGAGGCCATCAGTGATGACGGGGATTCCAAGATGCTTTATGAGGAATTCCTTCTCTATTTGATCATTCACTGTCCAAGCAACCAGTCGTACTCCCAAGCTTTCCCAGAAATTCTTGCTTTCTCTGTTAAAACAAAAACATATAAAACTTATTCAGATTATGAAAATCATATAAAGCCAGCGACAGAAAATCCACAAGAGAGAGAAGAGATGAAATATAAATTTAAATTATAAAATAGAAAATACAGATCTAAATTCTATAAAATGCATATGATGATGCAATTCAATGTTTTCTTTCTTTTAGGCCCTTTAAATGCCAGTGGCAAAACCGGCATATCTTCTTCTTCTCAGCATTTATAAGTTGTAAACACCGGCAGAAAGTTCTGGTTGTTCGTGCACTCTTAGACTCTGGTCTTATTCCAGAACTTGAGCTTAGTGTGCACATCCGTTTTACAGATCCGGCATATTTGTATACAGACTGTTGGGTCATTGCCTCTCAGGTAGATGCTCTGAAGGAAACACCCCCTGATTAGTCAATTCCTATGACCTACTGGTTGGGTGGGGAGGGGTTGTAAAAGAGGGGGGGGGGGGTATGATGAGTCCATTCTTTGTTCTCCAAAACAGAGCCTCTGATCCCACACAGGGACAACAGGCATATGATGTTAGATCCTGATTCTGTAGACAAATCTTCACTCAGTGGCTGATGTGGTCGACATCACACCGACAACCTTTATTTCCCAGGACCTTATTGTTTGTGATCCTAATACTTCAAGATAAAATTATAGTCAAACAAAGAAGATATAAACAGTTAACATAAATCACTCACTCACCCCCCCCCCTTCCCCCTTTCCACCCGCCTGCCCTACCGTACGCTTTATGGCTGCTTCTTGTTGCCAGTGTACGTTTTTATTATTCTCAGATCTTTACCATCAATGTTTAAGGTTTCCAAAATTCTAATAATTTCATGTTTCACTTTATCAAATGCTTTAGTGTAATCAATAATGCCCACATACTCTCTGTTTATTCCAATCTCTCTTTCTGAAAGTGTTCTCAAGATAAATATAGCGTTGTTTGTGCCTTTACCTTCAACAAAACCCAACTCTGTGAACATAACATAGGTTATATATTTAAACTGCCATTATGGCTACCAAGTTTAATTTAACAGTCACTCTGATGCCAGGTTATCCCGCAGTTCTTTTATTTATTACAACAATCAGTAAAAATAAACTTCTGCTGGAGTTATATTGCTTTGATTTTTTTTTCTCTTACATTCCTTAAAAGTAATTTTATTTTAAATTATAGATGGCTGTTATCTCCTTTGAAACCACATGAGACCAAGATGAGGTAGACAACGGTGAGTGAAACTTTCTTTCATTATCCTGGCCAAATAAAATTTATATATACATATATATATATATATATATATATATATATATATATATATATATATATATATATATATATATATATATATATATATATATATATATATATATATATATATAAAATGTATGGTAGTTTCACAAATCTTCTTATTCTTTTCTTCTTTACGTCCTTTTTTACTGCTTCTGGTGTCGAGGGAGACATAAGGTCCTGCTTCGCTTCATTCTCTTCTGGCTGCTTCGACCATAGACACATCGTGGTGCTGTAGTTTCTTTGATATTATCTTCCTATATGGTTCTTGGTCTACCTCTTGCTTTACATCCCTCTCCTTTTTTTATATATGCCCTATATAGTATAGTATCAGGAGGCATTCTCTCCAAGTGGGCACATCATTTGATTTGCTGTCTTTGTATGTAATTTAGAAGGATTGATTCTGTGCCGACTTTATCTTTTATGCAAGTGTCAATGTACTGAAATGGTCATGCCATTTCCCCTTGCTCTAAAGATAATGCATTCAGTTTCAGACTCCTCTATTTGGTCTGCAAGTGTAAGTGTTGTGTAGATCATAGGGGGGTCATTGCTGAATAGGGAATTTGTACTTTATGCAGGGGGTGGGAGCCACCAGCTCTCGCTCTGCAGAGTTAAATCAAGCTATATATGATAAAACCTGGTACAATTAGGTTCATCAGTCCCCTTGAACATCTTTAAGGGGTCACTACAAAAATTTTTTTTTTAATTATTTAGTGTTAGTAGACCAATTTTAATAATGGTCATTTGTACGGATATATGCTAATACATTTGCATACCATAAAATTTATGAAAATAATGGTTGCCATGGCAATTGCTGCCTTCTTGGAAAAAACCAACATGTACTTAGAATCCTAAAATTTCAAAAACAAACAGGGGTATTGAGAAATAGAAGACAGATTCATGAACTTTGTCTGGTAGTCTTAGTTTCAGCTTCATAGCAAACAGGTCACCCCATCTTTGCTCCGCTCCTGTGCCAACAAAAAACACACAGAATGTTTATCACAGTCCTTTGTGGAAAGATTGACAGACTTCTGTCTCAGCATATCTAGCATCATCAGTTCTCGTTATGCCTAGTGGCACATGAGGCTTCAGAGAGGACTTTCCATGCTTTCCTGTCCTGTGCAATCTTCAGCGCAGTTTTCCATGTCAAAGATGCCGCACTCAGGTCACTTTGTTTTTGGGCGCCCCTGTTTTCTCTTTCCCTCTGGTGTCCATGTGAGAGCTGTTTTGGCAGGTATATCAGAAGTCATTCTCATAACGTGGCCAAGCCATTTCCATCTTCTCTTGGTAATCATACTGTCTAAAGTTTCTTGGTATGTGGCTTGAAGTAGTTTAGTGTTTGAGATTGTATCTGGCCAGATAATTTTGATAATTCTACGTAAACATATGTGCTGGAAGGTGGACAGCTTGTGTGCATCCTTTTTAGTCATTCTCCAGCATTCTGGTCCATAAAGAAGAACTGGCAAAATGATGCTCTTGTAGAGTCGGAGTTTCGTTCCTCTGCAGTAATTGTTGGATTTCCAGATTTGCCTCATCCTTCCAAAAGTAGCTCTAGCTTTGTTCTGGCGTGACTGTATGTCTTCCTCTGTCCCTCCCAGTAGGGACACCACACTGCCAAGATATGTGAAATGTTCTACATTTTCAAGTGATTGGTTACTTATGGTCACTGGTTGTTGGTTTTGACTGTTTGTCCTTATCTTAGTTTTCTTTGTATTTATTCTCAGTCCCACCATTTCTGCTGTGCAGTGTAGTCTGTTGCTTCTCTCTTGTATATTGTCGTGAGGTGAGCAGCCAACCCTACACAATGGACGAGTCGTGACTGTGACTTCCCTTGCGCTCAGTCAAATTTCAAACTTAAACCCGTCCGGAAGGGTATATAGTCCCTTATATTGATATTTACCTTTATCTGGTAATATATTCATTTCTAGACCCTCTAGTTGCTTTAATAAATCTTCATTTTCAAACTTGCAACTGTAGGTTGGGGATTCTGGTAATTTATTTAGAAATTCCTGTAAGCCGGGTTACTCCCTGTGCAGGAATACAGGGGACTTCTTTCCTAGAGACGCTACGTTTGATTTTGAAAAAAAACATTCTTTCGCCTGATCCCAAAGTGTCAAGATGTGTATACAGTCTATGTAGAAATTGGCACATTCAAAGTTCCATTTCTATCTTGGAAGAATTTCTAAGATTGTGTAAGTTGATTATAGTTTACGAGTACCATAAATGATGTCTTTTTAAAGTTGGCTACTGCTGCAGAGAGGGCAGAGTCAGTTGTGTGATCGCACAGAGTTTGACCGTTCTTGATGTCCAGAGATCAGGCTTCGAACATTAGACCTTCCCTTGTACAGACTAATTGGTGCTCTACATAACCCACAGCATTTGTAAAGATATTAAACCCTACAAGTAATTATTCTCTGACCAGCCAAACGAAGCTTTGTGCAGCATAATAGAAATAAGGAATCTAGGTCATCTTTAACCGGTGAAATACTGTGCCGTCAGGGCTAGGCGCTCTGAGTCAAAGGTGTGTTTGACCCAGATTCAGTGGGTGTGTAGTGAACGGCCTGTGGAGACGGAGTATATATATATATAGGTACTAACTGTAAACATTGTATGTCTGCGAGTGCAGATGTGAGGGTGGAGAGAGGATGATCTATGTGTGTTAGTGTCTATCTATCTCCACTATATACCTGGTTCTATCTGTTGCACTATTTTACAGACAAATAAATGAAAGGAGACATTGTCTCCTGTTCTTGAGAGTTACACTCTGAGGATTGGAGAAGGTGACAGAGGTAGGAGAGAGCTGGTGTGTGAATAAGGTTGATTACTAATTCTGAGTTCTTTCCTGACAGGATGATACCTCCTTAGAGATCAAGCAGACGAATCACAGTCCAGCCAACAACCACCAACCCATACCATTCTGTGCACCAAGCAGATCCAAAAGTCTTGTATACTGTGCCACTACCTCAACATGGCAAGAGCTTGTTTGTGAGTTCCAGGACCAGTGGAAAATTGCAGACACCTTTGTCATCAATCCAGAGAACCAGTCTCCAAGAGCTTTGTTGGGCTCCTATGCATTTATTGTGACATTACCTGTGAGACCGGCAGCGTTCATCACAGTCTCCAAGAGCTTTGGTGGGCTCCTATGCAGTTCTTGTGTCCTCGTTTGTGACAGTCAGCTTGTACCAGATCAAGTCGAGGCCCAACTACTGACTGAGTCAACTACAGTCGAATCACCATTGACTGAGGGGAGCATTGACCTACGAACTGGGCTAAGTGATCTTTTATTCACATTACATGCTCTCTTCCTACAACACCTTATAAGTACGATAATGAGGCTAAATCTGGCTGCTTCAATATCTGGGTTGTGTCAATGTTTCCTGAGCTCCATTCACTGAACTCTTGTTGATCTATTCATTATTATATGTATATATTGTACTAATTACATGCACAAATTTTCATGGCTGACTTGGGTGTCCCTATTTCACCATTCTAACTATCTAGCTTTGATGTTTGTGTGAGTAATAAGTGTTATCTGTGTTAACATGGCTATGATAGTATACTATCATAACCTGGCAGCTTCCTTTTATAGTAGTGGGGGTGTCCAGCCAAGTGTGCCTAGGAATATTATATATTTTGTAGTGCCAAAACTTGAGTTGCCCTACTCCTGAAATAAGTTGAGCATATATTGGCCATGGGGCTTCCCTTAGACCAATAGGAGCCAACGACTCAACATAATTATTTCAGAGTGCTGTTGGTTCTTAAGGAGAAATCCTTAAATCAGGCATGCAACATATATGTTCATGTTTATGTGATAGGAGTGCTATATCATCTGCAAAATCAAGGTCCTCAAGCATGGTGAATGGAGTCCATCGTATGCCTCTTAATGTCTTGTCTACTGTGTTCTTTAGTATCCAATCAATCACAAGGTTGAAGAGGAGAGATGACATAACACATCCCTGTCTTACACCTGTCTTTACTGGGAAAGATGTATTGTAATTTTTTATACTGCAGGAAAAGTCTTTACAGACCGTCTCTATGGATGCTGTCAAAAGCTTTATCTAGCATACACTCGCATTAAAGCATATGGTAGCTATCCGAAGTGCAAACACAAACAGTCCGACATTAGAAATGCAGTTCATCATTGATGGTAGCAGAAGTCGCCAACAGATCAGCAGTTGCCCATGTGATGAATTTTAATCACAAAAGGGCACCACTAACATTGCACGACAGGCATCGTGCCATTTTCTGAATCTACAATTCACACTACCACGTTGGTCACAGTCGAAAAAACATTCCAAATGTAATCCGCAGCTCACAATGTCACACCATGCATTCAACTCAGAAGCTGGGCGACGAAACTATATCCAGTCTACAAATAGAGCACAAATGCATCGGCCACCATCCGGCAGAAGCAAAATATTTGCCTCTGCTTCGAACAGTGCCGCTGCCTAGCGTCCATTTTGACCTTTAATCCTATGTAGAGGTACAGCTGTAGTTTATTTACTTTAAAGATGTTTTTAAATACTTTTTGTAGAATTTTAAAATTTAGATCTGTTCAGAAAGTAAAAAAAAATGTAGCATCACAAGAGAATAATCAAATTAATAAAAAAGAAAAAAATATTCTAAATCTACTTTTAAATACAGTCTCTATAATATTGTTTAAGGAGTATCCATACAAAATTGCTTGCTTCCAGTCTTTATATTTGCTGAGATTATAGGATTTTTAGACATAAAACAAACAGAAACACAGAACTGTGAGAAAACTTACTTATAAACTTTTTTTTTTTTTTAATCTTAAAAAAGAGTATGGTTTTGTGTCTTTAGTGTTAACTTCTCAATGTTAAATTGTCTACAAATGACATAAATTTTGTGTGTAATCTATTCTACAAATGCCAAATTTTACAAAAACGAACACATTGAATAAGTGATGTTTTTGTTACAAATTGGAACAAATTCTATGTAGTGACCCCTTAAATATGGCACTCTCTCTCTGGACAGAGAGATAAGAGTTAGTTGTGAGTCCTTCACAGGAAGTCCCAGAACCAATCCCAGCATATTTTGGCTGTTCAATATTCCACTGGGCAATTTTACATTTATTAGTTTGGTTTGCCACTCTTTCCTCAACAGTCAGCGCTCAATTATCACCATCAAAACCAACGGTAGGCTGTCTGTTGCCAAAAAACGTCCCCAGTTGGGATCGAACCTGACACCGCGGAATTTCAAAGTGTGATCGCAATACCAAAGCCACTGTTTTTAATCTTTATTATAATGCGCTTTGTTCCTCGCATAGGTTATGGGGCCTTAGTTGAGTGTTGGAAAAGAATATACCCCCTGACACGACCTTAAATTAACATTTAGAAACAATAATGAACAGACAAAAGGAGCGTCTGGCCAGGTGATTACAATGATGGCTTCTCATGTGGGAGACCCGAGTCTGACCCATGGTAAGGTGATGGAATTTTTCTGTCCGGGGAAAATATTAAACATCCTAACGTATACAGTCCGTGGCTACACAGCACTAATCGTGCGGCCCTAAATCTTCAGGCTCACGACCCCCTGTCTACACAGCTCAAAAAAGTAGTACATACAGACAGTAGTGACAGTAATAAAAAGACACATACTGACAAATCTTGTCTTTGTTGCACAGAAAGAAAGAGTTGCCACAGATGAACCAAAGTATAGACCAGTGAGCCCAAGACAGAATGGCATCAAGCACTGGAGAAATCAGCCTCTTCCATATCTCTTTGTTCCTCTCGGTTCCATCTCCCTCCAGGGTCAGTAGGAAGTCTCGATGAGTCAATGCTGTCAAAATGTTGTTATCTGCCTGCCTAACCTAGAAGTCACACAAAATTAATGCAGAATAAAAAACAAACAAAAACAAAAAATAAATAAATAAATTACAATCAACAATTAAAATCAACAACTCCCTCCTTTGTAAGCAGACGGAATTTATAGTGAATTTGAAGTTACCCTGGTAAGGCACGTGACTACGGTGAGTTTCCGACAGCCAAAACACACCTGATATGTCAAAAGAAACTATTCGCATTTCAGTTGGATTTATTCAGTTTTGTGCCACATTTTATGTTGATGTAACTCTGTAGTAACGCACCTGACGAGATACAGCGAAATATGCCTGGCAATAAATTGTGCAATGTATTGTTTGTGTCCGCATTATTTAAATTCATTTAGGGAAAACATTGTTTTAAATAAACAATATAATATTTTTGAAATTATGTTTTAATGTCTCTGAACTTATCCCTTTGATGTGCCAAAGTGGAAAACTAACACAATAATAATATTTAAAAATATTCTACAAAACGCAGTACAATAGCATGCAAGTCTGAATATGTTGCAATATTTATTTACTCGTGGTTATTAAAGGACCTGTGTTATGTTTTTTGTTTATAACCAACGATATGGATTTAATGTACGTTTTTAGCAACATTATGTCAAATGTAGCTTGGATTAAAGCAGGGGACAGCAAGGGCTCCCCGCCCCTCCCCCCCTTTCCCCACACCCCAAAAAAAAAATCTAACACACAGTGGGACAATAACTAAATACATAGATGTCCAAGAACTAAGCCTTCTCCTACTACATTAGCGTTAATCAGCTGTAAACTCTACTGAAAAGTTCTGGTTGTTTGTCCACTTGTGGACTTTGGTCTTATTCCCTAAGTTTTGCACTCATATCCATTTTACAGTTCTGGCTTATCTGTAAGCAGACCTGTGGCTCCTGGCTGCTCAGCAGATGCACTCCAACTTCAAAGGAAACACCCTTAACTAGTCACCCTTTGTGATATGCATGTTAGAGGACAGTGGGCCTATTCTTGTTTGCCCCAAAAAGGGACCCTGAAACCTACATCACTTGAGTGTAATAAATACCGAAACACTCAGTGGGAGAAGAACTAAGTCCCTCAGGTACAATTCTAACAAACAGTTGCACAAGAATTAAATCACTCAAGGTACAATGCTAACACACAGCGGGGTGTCACCGTTCGCCGAGGATGACGGTTAGACCCCTACCTGTGGATCGGAAGGTGATGGGTTTGTGTCCTAACGGAGCTGAACTTTTTTCAAAAATGACCTTGACTCCCAGGTTGACCCAGCCTTGAGTGAGTACCAGATGCAGTACTGGGAAGTAAAGGCAGCCGGTGTGATGCTGACCACATCAATAACCAAGTGCCGATTGGTCTAAAAAAATATAAAAGAATGGAAAGGGGACAGTGGAACAGGAGCTAAATCACTCAAGGTGTAATGCTAACACACAGCATGACAACAACTAAATCAATCAAGGTATAATGCTACCACACAATAGGACAAAAACTAAATCACCCAGGTACACAACTAAAATACAGCTGGATAAAACCAAAATCACTCAAGTACAGTAATGTCTATAGGACAGATGCTTCAAACATCAATGAAAACACTGAAGAAAAAAAAAAGGCAGCAAGCATGCAACCATCAACAAGACTAAAGTTTGGAACAAGTGCAAGTATTTAAATCCTTGGGGTGGATTGCATACAGTGATAGATTAGACAGAGAGATGGATACCAGAAACAAGCCATATGAAATAACCAAGCTGTAAACATACGTCTATTTCAATATTATAAATACAAATACAAATGCAGTCTTCGTTCCAACTTGAGGTTATCAGTGTCAGACAGGGACACTAAAGAACAAGAAAGGGAAAACAATACAGGAGGACAGCGGTGCTTACCAGACAACCACGTCAAGCATGACCATGGAAATAGCCGCTGCTTCTAGAGAATTAGCCTGGGTATCCGAGCAAACCGCCACACAGGCAGTAATTGTATCAGACTCTATTAATATGCTTCAGAAGATAGCGACAGGCGGTATGCGCTCTGAATGGCTAGAAAGTATTTGAAAATTGCACTTAACCTCCCTCACCTGGATCTACAAACTTGGTCATGCGGGCATAAAGGGAAATGAGTGAGTTGACCAACTGGCAAGCACTGCACTAAGGCATGTGGGTAGAAGCATGGACTGAGCAGATATGGTCAATGCTGTAAGGACTGGGCTAGTGGATATCCCTGACACTAACACGTTGCGTGACATGGGAGTAAAGCATAGTGAAGCATATCTATGTCGTCTTCGAGGTCGAGATAGGAGACAATATAACCAGCTTCTCATGGGAACAATTAGCAGAAGTACTTTGGAGTGGCTGCTGCATTGGAGGACTGGACACGCATGGGAATGCCCAACGTGCAGTGACATCGATTGTGATAACATAACAAAGAACATGAGAGAAAAGTAGCCACCTGTGAAATGAAATGTTTAGAAAAGGCTACAAACAAAACCACATGAGATTTGTGAGATATGAAGAGATTAGAAGAACTATTGTTACTATATAAAATTCACTGAGAAACGAAGACCGAAACGGTTTATCGACTGATGAGAATAAATCCAATGGCGGCAGCAAGAAGAGCATACAACACGAAAATGGAAACCCTTGAGGCAGAGGGAGACCTAGAAGAATATGGATTAAAGCAGTCACTGACAGCATAAGAGCTCATGAAGTCGCAGCATATCAAGCAGCTAAATACGCTCTGCTACATATCATCCATTAATCTGTGATATCTATGGTATAAAGCAGGTAATGACCCCCCCCCCCCCCCCCCCTTTTTCGCCAAAAAAAATTTATATATATATATTATATAAAGACAAATTATCAGCCCAATGCAAACTTACAGAATAAATAATGGTGGGGTAGAACGAGCACACAATACCAAGCTCATACAGTTCTGGATGCTTCTTGTAAAGATCTGTAATAAGCTTGGCTGTCTGGTGAACAAAACCATTACTCACAAGTCAGTTTTTTCAAATTTTCAGACATAATAGTTTTTTTTAAATCTATTTTTGAATATCAAAATATAAGAATAAGATCCTAAAAATAAAAACATTTTTTTTTTAAATCTTCTTCTTGTTCGCCAGCTGTAAACTCTGGTGGAAAGTTCTGGTTGTTCGTCCACTTCTGGACTGCAGTCCTGTGCCAGAACCTGAATGTTGCATGGTTGCATGTGCATCCGTTTTACAGATCTAGCTCATTTGTATGCAGACTGAGGGTTCCTTGCCTCTCAGGCAGATGCACTCTGACTTTGAAGGAAGCTCTAAATTAGTCGACTCTTACAACATATTTTTTAAAATTGTTATAATCAATATCTGATTACTAAACTCTGGTGAAATTTGTCATTCATTTGTGTCCTTTTTTTTTTCTAATTTATTTTAATTCTATTGGTTCTTTTGTGGACAGCCGGAGAAGCTAGAGTCAGCATGATGTTGTCCTGATCACCCATTGAAGGTCCTTTGGTCTGTACAAATATGAGTCCAGCCTCATATGCCCAATGGTTGGTTCTATAAAGGATATGCAAATAATTTCTTTTAACTCAGAAAAGGGAGGAGGGAGAGGGGGGGGCTCAAATGAAAGAAAATGGGAATTATCATGGGCCAGTGGCCTGAGCTCCAGCACAGAAAGATCATTGATAAATTACAATGGCAATTATTTCTGGGCTAATTGTTAGGCATCCGCGGGCCAGATTTGGCTCATGGGCCACTACTTGGATAGCTCTGCGAACAGAGGATAATGTTAAATGTTTCACTGAGGGGATTAAAGACAGAAGAAAAAGAAGAATGTTTCACTGACTTGTTCTGTACAAACTGTCTTATGTTGCAGAATATTCAATGTCTCAAATCAGCAACCTGGTTCGCACTTACTAGAGAAGGACTACTCTTGCAGTCAATAAAGATGACAATTTTGTTCTTTATACACAGCTCCACACAGGCCTCTAAGGTTGGTACACGTGCAACAGGGTACTTGTCCCTGAAATAGTTTGCAAAAATTTACTCTCAACAACAGCCACAAAGTATTCCTGTTTTGAATGACAACGATAAAATTAGGTATCCAAAAGATTTTTATGACTTGCCTGTGCACCCAGATCCAGCCAGACTAAAATGAATACCAGGAAATATTCTGGAGAGTAAAGGTGGCCAGTGAATTTGACTATGTCATTCATAAAGCACTGAATGGACTTTGAAAATATAGACCTAAAACAGTATGTTATTTGCACCCTAGCACTATAACAGTCTTTTACTTCTGTTATTTAAATCCCCATTATCCTAGCATTCAAATAAATAGTGGCTAATTTATGAAATAACTTCTGTTACAGAACTTAGTACCGCTGTCAACATATGCATTCCTACTGAATGGATCTGCTGTTTCAAATAACTCCCAAAGCTCAACCAGGTGGTGCTGCAGTGAATCCCAGTCCATTGTGGCATAGCCCAACCAGGTTGTGCTGCAGTGGATCCCAGCCCATTGTGGCATAGCAGGAAATCAGAAGGTGGATAAACTGGCTGAAGAGAGGAAACTGGGAAAACAGGACCTCCTTCCTCTATCACTGCAAGAGGTCAAGACACTGATCAAGGAGAAGTACAGAAACTTCTGGAGGAAGAGATCAAACAAACATCCAGATGATCCAATAAACAGACTAAAAGGTAGGCAATAAACCAAGGCTGCACAATGCCCCCTGAGTATCCCTGCTAAAGCAGACTCCAAACACCTGAGAAAATACTGCAGAACTGCCCTCTTCAGCACAATCTGCAAGAAAACACTTGGCCAGATGGAAGAGGCATCCAGACAAATAAACTCTGGGAAACACTTGGAGACTTGCTAATGACGTGCCAGTTCATGGAGGCATCACCACTGGTAACCTAAGCATATGAATCCGACTGCACAGAAAAAAAAGAAGAATGCATCAAGGCTGACAGCAATAAAAGTTGGTTTCCTAAGCAGTCACCATGAAGCATCCATGCTCATAATTTATTTTGTGTGCCATATACAACAGACAAAATTCCATTGCCTTACCTGGCAATTAGAACTTGGGTCACCTGAAACCTGAGACTGGGACCTTAACCCTTCCGAAAAATCAGACAAAATGCAGGTGAAATATCAATATAGCAAACATGTATTTGTGTATGCTGAAGAACATCTTAATAAATTTATCACTTTAAGTTAGAAAAAAGAACTTTTTTTCACAGTGATCACCCAAAGGAGCATAGGCCCTCAATCAATTCACACCAAGCCGTCGTATTGTTTTACTATTGAATGCAGCTTACACAAATTCCTCATGTTTTCTATTTATACTGTTTTAAGGGTTTCTCAACATGTCCTATCCAACTCCAGTGTATTTTCCTCACCTTTCAACTCACCGAAATTTGTTTAATTATCTCCCAAAGTTCCATATTAGAGATTCTATCATACTCTATTGTGTGCAGGTTTTAGTTAATCTTCTTCTTCTTTCTTTCGCTTGAAAAAATGTATCTATATCTGCAAATTTGTCTCTAGTATGAACTTTACTGTCTTCTGTAATTCACTCAGTGACCCGTAAAGTCTGACTTGCACCCATGTTTCTCTTGGCCAATGGTTTTGCCTTGATATGTTGTATTTGGGACAGTCTTGGAGGACAAGATCTGTTGCCTCAGGTGCCAATCCACATGTGCACATGGCTGATTCGCCGATTTTAAATTTTGTGTGCTTCAGTTAATGAATGTTTGTATTTTTTTTTTAAATCTATTAGTCAACGTTTCAGTTGTTGTATATGTTTCAGATCGAATCAACAAGACTGATTTGATTAGTGAAATTGTAAGCTTAGTACTAGGTTAAATTTCCTTTGACCAGACATGTCCTAGTGTTATAAAATTCCTTTTGCCTCTATAATTCATGTTTTTATACCTCTGTCAGTTTCCCTAACTTTGTTATCTTCAGTATTTCTTTAACATGTGTATGAGCCTGCATGTTTTAAAGAATAATTATTAATATTCGGCTGTGAACCCTGGACAATCGGCAAATAAATGTCTCAAACTTACAGAAAGGTACTGTTACACAAAGATGCTGAAAATGTCCTGGACAGTCACACACACACACAAACAGCAAACATTTTTGAAAAGAAAAGCAAAGATACAAAGATGACTTAATACAAACATTATTTTGGCCATATTATATTAGACTAAAATAACAGACTAGTAACACTGCACCCTACTATGGATTTCGTAAGAGATAACTAAGGGTAGGGTTGGGCTTGGAGTTGGCTACCTCATCCTGTAAAAACAACAGCCACAAAAACCAACCAACCAATCATGGAGAAGTAAAAAAAATGATAGAGCAGCCTGGCATTTATTGATTGAGAGCCTATGGCCCATTGGGAGATAGAAGGCAGCAGAAGAAGATTCAGGGACACATCTCTGTGTTTCCTACGCTGAAAAACTTGAACATATGTTGACAAAGTCTGCTGTACCCTGTCCTGATTCTGAATATGATATACTGCCCCTCTCTCTAGAGAGTGGCTGAAGCGAGTCCTGAGAAGAAAAGTAAGAATGATTATACACTACACAAACACTAACTACAACATACTTGTTCACATCATTGAAAGACGCATTCAGGGCTTGGATTTGTTCGAAGGTGAACTCTGAAACAAGACCTTGCCCATCGGTGGTGTCATCCACTTTAGGTCCATGGATCAACACACCAACCCCATCTTTGGTGAAGTCCAGATCAATTTCAATAGCAGGAATCTCTAAGTCAATGGCCTGCAAAAGAAGAAACAGTTCACTGGTTTTCATACATATTTAAATGTCTCCTCTCTTGGTTTTCAGCACACATTAAACACATTAACACATGTCACAAATTAAAACGGACCATACTAATTCAGCTGCCGTGCAACATACATACATTAAACAAGAAAGTGACCAAGGATTGTTGAGGAATAATTAGAATACTGCTAAAACAAATAACTGTGTTAGTAGTTAAATATTAGTAAATAAACAGACACAATGTTTAGAGAAATTAGTAAAATGAAAAAACAATTTGTCCACTAACCACCATAGTGCTCAAGTAAAACTCTTTAAAAAAATATAAAATAAATAACAAATGAACATGATCCACTTAGTAATTTATAAATAAAAAACAAACACTGTACATTAGATCTCATTTCAGCGAAACTTTTGGAACACCATAACAGAGCACCATAATTTGGTGAAGAAAAATTAGTTCTCAAAACAATTACTGTTTTCACACACACAAAACTTTATACAGCACTCAGTTTGACCATAACTTTACAGCTATGTTGCTAAATTATAAGGGAATCACACTAGACCTAACTGACACTAAAGAAAATCACACTTTTTCACTAATATTTATTACCTTTATGCCAGCTGACTGTTTTCACGCTTTGCGTGAAGCAAATTTTAGAGCTATCCCTCATCAAAGTTGACTCCAACAATAACTGAAAGATGTCTACTTCGTAATGTTCTTTGTCTAGTTTTGGATTCAAAAAGTAAAAGAGATATCCAGTGTCTCAAACAACCACTTTTTGTATGTGAATCACACTGGAGAAGGCAGTATCCATATACCTCGATGAATGCAGCACTGAATCATATGTGGTAACACTGACAGATGCTCGCACAGTATTGCAAGCAATACAGGACAATAAGCAACCACAATTCAACAAGCTTAGATCTATGCTAAATCCAGTGGATCCTTGGGCCAAATGCAGCATTAAGGGGAATAAAAGTGCAGACTTCTTTTTCTTCAGCATTCCGTGCCCTTGAGGTTCATTGTTGCAGATATCACCCGCCTCCATTCATCTCTCTGGTTAGCCTTCTCTTTCCAGTTGGTGACACCAAGTGTTTGCAGGTTTGCTTAGACATTATCTCTCCATCGTCTTCTTGGTCTGCCTCGTGGTCTATGACAATTCATCTTCCTGGTGTATACAGTTTTTACTTCTCTGTCATCTGACATTCTTTCAATATGCCCTAACCATTTCAGTCTATTAGCTCTCATGATGCCAGTTATCAGTGGTGATTTAAACAGATTATGAATTTCATTACTGCTTCTCACTCTCCATTCACCGCTGTTTGCATCTTTGATGGGTCCAAATATTTGTCGTAAGACTGTTTTCAAAAACCTGTAATAAGGCTTTACCTCTTTTAGTTGTGCTTCAAGTTTCAGAGCCATATAACATGACTGGTATATACAATGACTGCAGACAACTTAACCAAAACTGGAAGTCACACAGGACAGTCACATACATGACAGACTTATGAGGAAAATAAAACTCAGATCAACTCCTAGAATGGAATACTTCCCTTTCAGGACGCAATCCTGAAGCCCTAGTCAACTTCCTCACACAAAAGAAATAGACCATTAGACTCTGCACACAACAGACTCTCCAGCTATCAGTACTAGAAATTTAAGATTGGGGATTCAGAACTTTGTCCATGCACCACAGAATGTTGAACTTGTGCTACAGGCATGCTCTCTACATGCAGGAGAGAGATCCCAGGTTTATCCGGCTGGCACTCTGGTGGAAACCAAGCTGTATGGAACAGTGGAAGACATCTGTTGCACCACAGACTAAACAGAGGCCTGTGATCTTCTCATCTGAAAACCACTGGCAGCGAGAAAGAAAAGAAAGGGAAGAGTATGGGAAGCGAACAAGGGGAAATCTCAGACATTCCGTTCAGCAATACTAAATGGTTATTTTGCAGCACCCTAAAGCTGGCGAGATTAATTTGCTGTCCTAATGTCATTTCTACTGCACAGAGATGTATCAATGAAGGCTTCAATAACTTCCCTCAGATCACTCTATTGTCTGATGAGGTACCCAATATACATAAACAATTACCTCAGCACGGTACACAAACCCCACTGTATGATGATGTACCCAATAAACATAAACAATTACCTCAGTAGAGTACATAAACCCCACTGTATGATGATGTACCCAATATAAATAAACAATTACCTCAGTAGAGTACATAAACCCCACAGTATGATGATGTACCCAATATAAATAAACAATTACCTCAGTAGAGTACATAAACCCCACAGTATGATGATGTACCCAATATAAATAAACAATTACCTCAGTAGAGTACACAAACCCCACTGTATGATGATGTACCCAATATAAATAAACAATTACCTCAGTAGAGTACACAAACCCCACTGTATGATGATGTACCCAATATAAATAAACAATTACCTCAGTAGAGTACACAAACCCCACTGTATGATGATGTACCCAATATAAATAAACAATTACCTCAGTAGAGTACACAAACCCCACTGTATGATGATGTACCCAATTTAAATAAACAATTACCTCAGTAGGGTACACAAACCCCACTGTATGATGAGGTACCCAGTATGTGTAAACAAAAATCACACTCTCTATATTATCAAAGCAATGTTTCTCCAAAAAGACACAAACAACAGACTGCATTATTTATTGCTTGGCATTTTTCGAGTGCATACTTTTTTTAAGCCGACTTTATACTGTTTTTTTAAAAAAATAGATTAATATCTTTAAAAAATACACATAACACTATATAAAATGAATCAACAATAACTCATGCTTCTAAAATATAAAAATAAAAAATGTTAATACTCTTATATATGCTTATACTTTCACTCTTTTAAAGTATACAAATAAATATGCTAAAATGAACAATATATTGCAATTAATAGAGCTTACCTGTTGAACAGCCTCCAAAGTGTTCTCGGGTGCATGAAATCCACCCGCTTTGTGAAAAATTAAATTTCCCTTCTCATTATTCTGATCAATCTTGAACAAGTTGAGAATTGCAGGGCTAATCTTGTCCTTAGGGACAGGAGGTATCCGTATATAAAGCAAGGCCGCAATCATAGATACTGACAGCGTTAACGACAGGCCAATTGAGTCAGTGATAAATGTGTTTAGTACTAACCAAAACAGTAACGTATTGCCACAATGCACCATCTGTTTCTGAGATATCAGCATTGTTGCTTGTTTTTTTTTTTTTTTTAAGACCACCGCTTATCATAGGTTATAATAATTTAGAACATTTATTTTTCTTTTGGATGCCACCAGCTTTTGTGAGAAATTGTTTCCCCTTTAAAATGCCACCAGTTGTTGTGACAAACTGATTTCTCTTGACATGCGACCAGCCATTGAGACAAACTGATTTTGATTGGAGACACCGCCTGCTATACTGACAAACCGCTGTGCACTGGTGACATCTGTGAATTTCACAAGTTATTGTTAATTCAGTGTTAACTTAGTCATTTTAAAACAACAGATAAACAAATATGACCATTTCATTTTCAAAGAAAAAAAACTGGCCAAGTGTTTCATGCAGAAGACCCAGGAATGTAGAATTTATTTTTTTCAGGGGGGGCCAAAAATGAAAGAAAGAGCATGTGAGCGGACAGAATAAATGAATGAACTTTATTTTAAAGGGTCAACAATTTGGCACACAGGCTCATGTTACATCTGTCCAAAACACTCATCTTTCACACAGCAGTTGTATTTTATCTTTAAAGCATGTTTTGCTCAAATGAGAGAAAGAGCTGATGAAAGAAGAAAGAAAGAGTTACTGGAGAAAGAAGTAAAGAGCTATTGCGAGAAGACAAGAGCTAGTGGGAGAAGAGGGAAAGAGCTAGTGGGAAAAGCTACTGGGGGAAAAAATGGAAAGCTGGAGAAGAGGGACAGTTAGCAGAAGAAGAGGGACAGAGTTAGCAGAAGAAAATAAAAAAAACTAGCGGGAGAAAGGAAAGGCTAGTAGGAAAAAGGGGAAAGAGCTAGTAGGAGAAGGGAGAGCTAGTGGGAGAAGAGGGAAAGAGCTAGTGTTAAAAGAGGGAAAGCATTAGTGGAAGAAAAGGGAAAGTGTTAAGAGAGAATAGGAAAAGAGCTAGTGGGAGAAGAAAGAAAGATCTAGCAGGAGAAGAGGGAAAGAGTCAGTGGGAGAAGGGAGAGCTCATGGGAGAATTGTGAAAGAGCTCATGGGAGAAGAGAGAAAGAGCTAATGGGAGAAGAGGGAACGAGCTAGTTGGAGAAGTGAAAAAGCTAGTTGGAGAAGTTTGAAAGAGCTAGTGAGAACAAGGTAAAGAGCTTTTGGGAGAAGGGAGAGCTAGTGGGAGAAGGGAGAGCTAGTGGGAGAAGTGGAAAAGAGCTAGTAGGAGAAGGGAAAGCTAGTGAGATTAAAAAAAGACCTAGAGGGAGATGAGAGTGCTAGTGGGAGAAAAGGGTAACAGCTAGAGAGAGAAGAGGGAAAGAGCTAGTGGGAGAAGAGGGAAAGGGCTAGTGGGAGAAGAGTTAAAGATCTAGTGGGAGAAGATGGGGAGAGCTAGTGGGAGAAGGGAGAGCTAGTGAAATAAAATAAAAAACTTAGTGGGAGATGAGAGATCTAGTGGGAGAAGAGGGGAAAGCTAAAGGGAGAAGGACAAAACTAGTGGGAGAAGAGGGGGAGAAGCTAGAGGGAGAAGAGTAAAAGTACATAAACAGCTAGTGAGAGAAGAGGAAAAGAGCTAGCTGGAGAACAGGGAAAGAGCTAGTTGGGAAAGAAGAAAAGAGCTTGTGGGAGAATGGGTAAAGAGCTAATATGAAAAGAGGGAAAGAGCTAATGGGAGAAGAGGGAAATAGCTAGTTGGAGAAGTGGAAAAGAGCTAGTTTGAGAAGTTTGAAAATGCTAGTGAAAACAAGGAAAGGAGCTAGTGGGAGAAGGGAGAGCTAGTGGGAGAAGTGGGAAAGAGCTAGTTGGAGAAGTTTAAAAGAGCTAGTGAGAACAAGGGAAAGAGCTAGTGGGAGATGAGAGAACTAGTGGGAGAAGAGGGAAAAAGCTAGAGGGAGAAGAGGGAAAGAGCTAGTGGGAGAAGAGTGAAAGTACTGAAAGAGCTAGTGGAAGAAGAAAGAAAAATATAGTGGGAGAAGATGGGGAGAGCTAGTGGGAGAAGAGAGAGCTAGTGAGATAAAATGGGAGATGAGAGAGCTAATGGGAGAAGAGGGGAAAGCTAGAGGGAGATAAGGGACAGAACTAGTAGGAGAAGGGGGAAGCTAGAGGGAGAAGAGGGAAAGAACTGGTGCGAAAAGAGTGAAAGTACATAAACAGCTAGTGGGAGAAGATGGAAAGAGCTAGTATTAAAGGAGGGAAAGCTCTAGTGGAAAAAAAGGGAAAGAGTTAAGAGAGAATGGGAAAAAAGCTAGTGGGAGAAGAAAGAAAGATCTAGCGGGAGAAGAGGGAAAAAGCTAGTGGGAGTAGAAAGAAAGATCTAGTGGGAGAAAAGGGAGAGAGCTAGTGGGAAAAAGGACAGCTAGTGAGATAAAAGAAAAACCTACTGGAAGAAGAGACAGATAGTGGGAGAAGAGGGAAAGAGTGGGAGGAGAGAGAGCTAGTGGCAGAAGAGAGAAAGAGCTAGCAGAAAAAGAGGGAAAGATATGGGAGAAGAGGGAAAGAGTCAGTGGGAGGTGAGAGCACATGGAAGAAGAGGGAAAGAGCTAATGGGAGAAGAGGGGACGAGCTAATTAGAGAAGTGAAAAAGAGCTATTTGGAGAAGTTTGAAAGAGCTAGTGAGAACAAGGTAAAGAGCTAGTGGGAGAAGGGAGAGCTAGTGGGAGAAGTGAAAAAGAGCTAGTCGGAGAAGGGAGAGATTAAAAAAAGAACTAGTGGGAGATGAGAGTGCTAGTGGGAGAAAAGGGTAAAAGCTAGAGGGAGAAGAGGGAAAGAGCTAGTGGGAGAAGAGTGAAAGTACTGAAAGAGCTAGTGGAAGAAGATAGGGAGAGCTTGTGGGAGAAGGGAGAGCTAGTGGGAGAAGGGAGAGCTAGTGAGATAAAATGGGAGATGAGAGAGCTAGTGGGGGACGAGGGGAAAGCTAGAGGGAGAAGAGGGACAGAACTAGTGGGAGAAGGGGGAAGCTAGAGGGAGAAGAGGAAAAGAGCTGGTGCGAGAAGAGTGAAAGTACATAGCTATTGGGAGAAGAGGGAAAGAGCTAGTTGGAGAATAGGGAAAGAGCTAGTTGGGGAAAAGGAAAAAGCTTGCGATAAATAAGAGAAAGAGCCAGTGGAAGAAGGGAGAGCTAGTAGGAGAAAAAGGAAAGAGCTAGTGGGAGAAGCAGGAAAGAGCTAGTGGGAGAAGCAGGAAAGAGCTAGTTAGAGAAGAGGAGAAAAGCTACAAGGGGAAGAGGGAAAGGGTTAGCGGGAGAAGAGTGAAAGTACTGAAAGAGCTAGTGGAAAAAAGGGAAACAGCTAGTGAGAGATGAGGGGAAAAGCCAGTGGGAAAAGGGACAGCCATTGGGAAAAAAGGGAGAGAGCCAGTGAGAGGAGAAAAAAAGATAAGAGAAAGAGCTTAGAGAAAAAAATAGAATAAGAGCTTAGTAAAAGAGTGGGCAGTAAGAGAAGAGAGTTTTAGTTTTACACCTTCCTATACTGGCTAACAGTGACAGTACATGTTATGATTAAAATGTAATGCCTCACAAAAGTGCTGACAAATAGCAATAAAATGTAATGCTGCTGTATCTTAGTGACACACAAATTGGCTCTCCTGTCAACTCAGGCCGTTAGCTGGAAAGCCGCCGATTGCTTAGTGGGAGTTCTCTCCCTTGGCTGCATTGCAAACACGGAGCGGAAAAGTCACGAATCAAATGAAATACTTACCTATCATCATACGGTTGCGTAGTCATCATACTTTTGCGTAGGGTTTAGGGTTTGGGTTAGGGTTAGGGATAGGGTTAGCGGCGTTAGGGGTTGGGTTAGGGTTTGGGTTAGGGATAGGCTTAAGGTTAGGGGTAGGGTTAGATGTGACAATTTTGACGTAAGAGTTTCATATACTGGCCGACGATCTGATGCTTGTGGGAGTGGCGCCACTGGAATTCTCCCAAATATGACGGCAATAGCGCGCGGCTGGTGCCCAAACGGTGGCGAATTGTCCGTTTGAGTAGCATCCACAGTCCTTTGATTGTTTGGGTGTGTATGTGACCGTGCGCGATTATTCGGAACTCCTGTGTCAAAAGTGTCACATCTAACCCTAACCCTACCCCTAACCACGCAAATTTATCGGTCAGTGAGTCAGACAGATCTGCATGAGTCACATCCGTGGCAACTAATACCACGTTTATATATATAAGGATATATTTAATTTAAAAAAAAAAAACAGATTTCCCCAAAGCGTCAAATAAACACCCAGATCTGGGGGAAACACCCAAGCATTGGCAGCCCTGTTGTCGACCTCACTGTCTTTTTTTTATTCGTGACTTTTCCGCTCCGTGTTTGCAATGCAGCCAAGGGAGAGAACTCTCACTAAGCGATCGGCGGCTTTCCAGCTAACGGCCTGAGTTGACAGGAGAGCCCATAAATTTATTAGTAGCTGTAGCAAAATTAATTAGGTGTGCCCGCCATTTAACTTATACACTGAAGATCTTTTCGTCTCCATCTCTAATCTCCACAGTGCGGCAATAATACTAATAATAATAAAAAGAAGAAGAAGAAGAGGACGAAAAAGGAGTAGGAGGAGAGGAAGAAGAAGAAGAGGAAGAAAAAGAAGAAGAAAAAGGAAGAAGAAGAAGAAGAAGAAAAAGAAGAAGAAGAAGAATTATCTTATCCATATCAATGATTAGGAGATCAGTGACTGTGACCCACACAACAGCTGTATCTATTACTATTAGGTAACCAGGTCACCTAGTTAACGGTAACGGGTGGCAACCAGATCTGCACTTAGTCAAATCACAATCACACAATAGGTCAAGCCGGTCTTATAAGGATTCTAGTTAATTAACGATAATCATTATCAGTTTATAAAATAATAAGATTACTAACTTTGTATTTAATTTAGTTCTGGTTTAGTATAATAAAATAATAAATTATATTCCTTATTAAAAAAAAAAGTATTATCATCAGTTTATTAAACAATGCACAGTACAGTACTACATTTTATTTCTAAGAAAACAAAATCGTATTTGTGTGCAGTTTTTATTATAATACTATACCTATTACTATTTGTCTATGTGTAC